TGCCTGAGCGCGGCAGCACCGCTGCCCTCCGACCCCACCCCGTGGGTTTAGCGCCTCTGCGGGCCTGTGGCCTTGAGATCCACGTCAGAAGGAGCAGCAAAAGGATTCAGAGGCTGGGCTGCCCGCTTGGGTGTCCAAGCCACGGCTCCTGTTACTTCTGGTAATTAATTATGAGCCACAGAAGGTTTTTGTTCGTTTGCTTTTTCTCCACTGGCTTCTGCAGCTCCTGCTGGAGGAGACAGCTGGTGTAACTGCACAATATTGTACTGGAAACACTTTGGGATGTCCTTTGTAGCAAATGAGGCAGCAAAGAAAGGCCAAGTGCAAAGAATGTGGTTTGTTTGGGGGGTGGTTTTTTTTAATTATTTGTTTTGTTGAGTTTTGGGGTTTTTTTATACTACCCTAGAGGAAAACAAGACATGCAAAACATTTATCTTTAAAACACTTCTACCTGAAAAATTGCTCTGGAAAAAGCTGTAGTAGCTTCTGTTTTTTTCCAAAGCTTTGGTTTGGTTTCCCACCACCACCAAGTTAAACTCGGAGCTGACAGCTAGAGACGCCTCCATGGCTAAGACTTGGCTTAGAGCCATGGTGAAGTCAATGCAGTAACACTGCAGGATACCTCTTGAGTTCCACCATTGGCTTGTAAACATACTTTCTATAAGTTCCTAAGAGCTGTGGTTTTAAAAAAGTTCCACGTGATGGTCTTTGAACCCTTTATATTCACACACTGTAATATGGGTGAGTACTGCTCAATAAATATCCCTTATTAATACACATGTATTTCTATGTATTACAGCCCTATATGCTGTTCTGCTTTCCTCTGCACGTTGGCTTTTTGGCTTCCAGATCATTGCAGATGTGTTTTGACTCTTCCCCTGCCCTGCCCCACCCCCATCTCCACAGGGAAAGTTTCAGGCTCTTCCCATTAGCAAACTGCAGCTTGAGCCACCGTATTTCAAGACTTGGCTCGGATCTTTGTCTGGACAGGCAAAATGGGGTCATTCATGTAAAGACCTTCTAAATGACTGACAGTTCTGCAAAACAAGGCTCTTGGGGGAAGATGGGGGTATTAAACACAAGAGGTGGACAGTTGGGTGGTAATGAGATCCACATGCTCAGTTTCTAAGGGTTATCTTGAGAGCTGGGGGTTTGGATTGGCATTTTGGATGGGAAGGGGGAATCCCTAAGAATAGGTGTGGTGCTAATTGGACAGTGTATACAGGCAGAGAGATAATGTGTGACAGAAGAACAGTAGGCCAAAAGGAAAGCAGCAGGCTGAAGCTGAACTGGCCAGTCAGCCTGTTCTTTCATGCCTGTTTATAAAACTAAAATAGAACTATCTGAGCCTTTGTAGTTGTAAACAGACTCTTGGGGATGTGCATGTTTTCTTCATCTTCTTATGGTGCCTCTGTTGTTTCCATCCATTTCAACTTTGTTACCCAACAGAACAGCACATGCAAAGGAGGAACAGTAGATTGTTTGGAGATTGGCATCATGTACTTTTGAGTTGCATCTTCTTGTAGTCCAGTCAGTCAATAAGCCTTGATTTGGGGGTAGACCATAACAAAGTATCACTAGATGTTTTTCCAGTTTCATCCCCGAGAGCTAAGGAGTGATTTACCAAGTGGACATGATAAGACACGTGCACTATAGAGGTGGGAAGTAAATACATTCTGAATTTTTGCCTCTCTGCAAAGGTACTAACAAAATACTAGCTTTCCATGCCCTTTGGCTGTTCAGAGTCAATATCCTGATCTGTAAAAGTCCTCATGAAAACAAGCACTAGTGGGATGTAGTTTGCATTTCACAGCTGAAGTTTGCAATTTATAGCTGAAAAGATAGAGGATACATCACTTCCCTTCTTGGCTGTTTATTGCTCAGCCACTTGATCCATTTATCTGGTTGGTGAAAAGTGACAAGAGAAGACACACGGCCTGCACCTGGCTTGTAGATTGTGGCCTGTATTTCTCACTTCCTAAGGGACTACCAAACAAGCCTGCTTTTCCTTTTCACTATCTTCGCCTTAGCCCAAATGACTTGGCTCAAGTCAGCTTTGTTCACTGTTTGCCCTTGCATAAATTCAGTTGTCATGACATCACAAACGTTACCTCTTTGCTCCATGGCAATGGCTGAACTTTAAGGAGGGAGGGAGGCGTCGGAGGTAGAGAAAACAAATCTTGAACTCCGGAGGGAGAGTATGAGAGCTGGGAAAGTGTGCAGGGAGCTGAATACTTACACAGTCCAGCCTTGAGAGTGGAACTGGTAACTTCTTGCATTGTGGTTGTTTACTTACGTGTTTTATCGCTACCCAGTTGCTCTCCCGACTCGCCAGCCTTCTCCCTGTCCATTGGAGCACCATAACTGAACATCCTGCTTGAGTTGAGTGATGGAACAGCTTATATTGCTTATTACTCTCAACAGGGATTGGACCTTACTCTATGGCAGGGTACTGCCTCAGATGATTGTCATGGAACAGTACCCCAGAAGGATAAGAAAAGTAATTTGCACTAGTTTTGCACCAACAGTACTGTTCCAATGTGTACAGCCCAAAGCACTGGATACTTTTAGACACTAGGCATCAGGCCACAAACAATTATCAATTACCGGTGATGCTAACCAAAGGTTTCTAAAGGTTGTGGCTGCTCTATCAGCAGTTGATACCGTTTCACTGTTTAGCTAGACTGAAGGCCAAAAGGTTAAAAGATGTGTCCTGTGCTTGTACTGTGATTGTTCTTCACTTACTGTTTTTTTTCTTTTGATTTAGGTTAGACTATAGTTTAGACCCAAGAGCTTGTTTGACCCTGACAGCTTGAGTACAGACGCAAAGAAAGGATTGTTGTTTTGTGAATGTGAAGAAGCAAACTTTCATCCACTTGCTTGGAAGCCTGTTCTGTTGGGAATGGCAAGATATCTACCCACAGCTTTCTTCATCTAGGTTTGGCTCAACACCCAGAAGAGAAGTGAAAAACTGTCTTCTCAATGGAAGATGACAGTGAACCTGAGCAGCGCTCCTGGGCTCATCTACCTGATGTCTGTCTGAGGCATGTTTTCCATTGGTTAGACGACAGGGACAGATCTCAGGCTGCCTTGGTCTGTAAAAAATGGAGTTGGGCCATGTACTCAGGATCCCTCTGGAGAAGAAGAACCATCACATTCTATGGCCGACCATCAAGGGCACACACATTGGAGTTTCAAAGTGCACTGTGGTATGTCAAGAAATTTGGCAAGTATTTGGAGCACCTTGAGATCAAGTTATCGAATCCTTACAATACTGCCTTTACCCAAAAATTTCAAGTGACTATGAGAGGTCTTCTTTCACGCCTGAGTAAGTGTAACAGTCGCCTAGTATCCCTGAGCATCAAGTACCTGGAATTAGACCGCTTGATCTGGAAAAACGTGGTCAGGGCTCAGTTTATCAAGACCTTAGCTACCTTCCTGAAAAGAATGAGCAAACAGCTTGATTATCTCAACTTAAAAGGAGCAAGAGTAACCTTGGAAGAAGGCTGTGAGCTTCTGAATTCTCTGAGCTTCTTGACAAATAAAGGCTTTATATCTGAAATCAATATTGAGGATTTCTTCAGTCTCCACCTTCCTGTCTACAACAGCACTTTGTTCCACCAAACTATGTCCAAGTTCCACAGCCTGGTCATCCTGACTTTCAATTATAACTGCATCTCTGATGAACTGCTGGACATCCTGCGGGAGCACAGCGCTCATTCCCTGTGCACCTTGAATATCAAATGTCATATCCATGACCCTCATGGGCAAGTGGTCTGGGGAATGTCATGGGCAAACTTGGCCAAGAGAGCCCCAAAACTGAAAGTGAACTTCTTCTTTGAAAGAGTCATGAAGCATGATCACCTAGCCAGGATCCTGCTAGTGGAGATCCCAGTCAGGAGCATCAGTCTACGGAGCTGCTATTTCAATGACGCACACTGGACAATGAGACCTACCCTCACCAACCTCCTCCCAGCCTACTGGCATGTTCTGCAGGTAAGGGAAACAGTAGTGACATCTTACTGCAGTATCACAAAGCTAAGTAATCATATAGGCCTTCTGCATGACAGCAGTCATCAATAGGAATTCCTGACCACTTCAGTTTTATGTTCAGAGGGTAGTTTTCATAAGTGAGCCATTCCAGTGCTGCAGCTATAGTCTAGTTCAGGTGATTATCCTTGTCCAGTTACAATTCCCATTATGCTAGTCTTCACTGTCAGGCTGATGTCAGGGTGCCCTCATAAAAAGCTAAAACACTCGAAATACTGGTGGTGGTTGTAATGTCAGCTGTGAGAAAAAAGAACGTTTCAGTCATTTTTGTAAGAAAGCTTTAGGCTTATTCTGGTTAGACACCTTCATGTTTAGTAACTGATAACTTTCTTATCCTTTCAGATTTTTCTGAACCCCACCCTTTTGCAGGGAAATCTGCATATGAGGAAAATAGTTTGTACACCTTGTTTGCTTACAGAGCTGTAGCCTGCATCAACCTACACTGATGGTTTTGCTCCATTTTGGCAATGCACAAATGTCTTACAGCACATGGAAATTAACTGATGCGCATATCAAAGCACTTTGGTGTCACCAAGGATGTGTCACCAAAAATGTGCAACAGCTGACACGTGTAAACGAGCATCAGGTCTTTGCATGCCTGAGGGAAGCACACGGCCTTATACCTGATGGTTGCTGACAGCTTTCTTTAAGTTCTGTTGCATTGCAGAGTTTCCAATAAACACCAGAGATCTGTAAAGCTTTCTAGAAATTGTCTTTAGATCTACTCTTGTATCTGGGATAATTTCCAATATGTCAAATAAGATCATGGCATGAGCTGTGGGTGTAGCATCTTCTAGTGGTAATAGAAGTTGTCTATCCCTTAGGATGGTATGTAATTGTCCTGGTTTCAGACAGTAATGCACAGGACAGTAATACCAGGACAGTAATGCACAAGGGACACCCCCATCTTAACAGGAGAGTGGAGATTTCTGTACTGTTATAATACAAAACTGATTCTCTGCTAATGTCAAGGTACAAAATTGATCTGCTGACAGTCACTTCGTTGGTAAAATTGGGAAACTTGTTTACTGAATTCTTGTTACTGTATTCACAAGTTCTGTTCAGTAGTACTAACAGTGTTCATTTTTTTCAAGAAATTAACACTGGAATTAAACAATGACCATGAGCTGCTGGATGATGAGCTGCTACAGCTCATCTTGTCATGCAAGAGGTTGTTATTTCTGAAAGTCTGGGCATTTCTAAGTGTCACCTTTATGGAGAGGCTGCTACAAAACCGTACAGAAAGGAAATGCATTTTGACTACCATAAAGGTAAGACTTTGTGTTTCAAAACTCCTATTCCCTTCCTCTCTCCAGTACCCAGAGAAAGGTGAGGTCCCCCTGCCCATAGAAAGGTCACTTACAGAAATGTTAACGTAACTACCTTCCCTATATTATGTTTTAGCGTTATAAGGAGCCTGAGAACCATTCACAGAAATGGGGCTTTCCAACCTACTTAGCCATGTACCAAATACTATAGAAGCTTAATAACAAGCTCCAAGAATTCCACAAGTCCTTCCTAGACTGGGGTTCCCTCTGTCACCTCTAGTCTAAGCTAGGGATTCTCAGTCACTTCCCAGGCCCAGTGCTTATGTCTGTGCTTAAATCGAGGCATATGGGTTGAATCCCACTAAACTGCAAAAAGGTTTAAACACATCTCACTCTTTAGGGATGCTGTGTTGAACTGGGGCCAGACCACAACTGCAGCTGGTGTAAACCATGCTGTCATGCTACTTTGCATCCTAGATTCTGAATTCAGTAGATCCTCCCAGATCTGCGGATGCATCAGTTCTGGGGGTAAAAGGAACCTTGCTCTTCCCAAAAATTCTTTGGCAGGAGATGATGTTTTCAGTCAGTTTGGAGTGAAAACAGAGTAAAACCTCAAGATTTTACTCAAAACCAAGGAATTTGGCTTATCTAGATTCCTCATTAGTCACAGAGGCTTCTTGTTGTCGCGAGCTTTAATGGGCTGAGCCTTCTATCTGAGAGACATGACTGTCATTCATGCATACAGGTCAGGATTTACACAGCCCGACAAGAGACCAGTGAGGAGGATCGGCTGTTGTGCGATATTTACAGGAAGTTCAAATACCTGATTGACTCAGAGCTTAATTATTTTGTCATCACCTACCCAATGGTGTAAACCACGGGGAGAGAGAAGAACACCCAGTGACATCAGCAAGCAATGAACTGATCCTTTGGAGGGCGTTAGTAAGGGATTTGAATCTTGACAGCAGTGCCTCTGAAAGGGAGATACCATTACAGCAAGAGAGAGGCAAGGGACAATCTTACACTCCATGCATTAAAATGTTGGACTTGGGAACCAGCCTCCTATGTCTCCAGCATCATTTATTCTTGCCCTTGCTTTGTTTTTCCTCACCAGAACCAAAGGAAGCAGTGAGCCCTTTTCCATCCTTACAGGCTTCTCTAGTGAAAATAAGGCCCTCCTCTTTTTTCAGCACTTCTCATTGTAGAGCTTCAAACACCTTACCAATGAAGCCCATCTCGTTTCCATTTTGCAAATAGGGAAACTGAGACATGAGGTGAGGAAGTGATTAGTGCAAAGTCAGCCTTGGCTTGATCTTTGACTCAGATGCAGTCAGATGCACTATCCAGTGTATCACCAGTCCCTTCCTCCTGTTAAGTTTGATATACACCCTGTGCCTAGCTCTTAACAGCAGATGTTGAGAACAAAACATACTATAGCTAGTCCTGAGAGTCACCCCTCCCACTTGCCCAGCTTTCCAACAAGTGACTTATGAGGAGACTCCTGCTCTAGCTTCCACAACTTCTAGACCTTTCAATGGCAAAAGATACCATTGGTTGCACACGAGATAAATAACATGGAAGAAGGGACATTTCTTCTTATTCTGGAATTTTATTGCCAAGCGGGAGATTTCTTCAGGTGTTCTAGAGTATAGATAGCTGTGAAACAGGTAGCTGTAAGTACTAGGTCTGTTTTAATTACCTTGCACAACTAGAACCAGGACAGCATTGAGCCAAAACAATAAATCTAGAGGTTTGTCAATAAAATTTGAGCAGGAGCTGGCTCTTTGGAGCACACACACTCTCCCAGTATGATGGCTTCAGAAGCTGTAAACAGACTCTCTCATTTGCATGCAAAGCACTTCATCAATGTACAAGGTATTCTCCTTGACCTGGATCTCCTCCTCCAAGGAAAGCTGTCGGCGGCTCAGACCTTTCAGCACTGTCTCAGCCTGTGCCAGTGTGCTCTTTAATCTAAAAGGGAGAATACAGGCAGACATTAGTTGAAAACACACGGATAGGTTTTTTTCATATGGGATAAGAATTCTGAGTGGAAAAAAAGATGGAAGGGGATTCACAGAGAGACAATATCCATGCAGCTTCCCTTAAAGTGTCCTGCCCTTAAAGGAAAAGTAATTCCCAACCTTTCAGGGAGAATAGGTGGGACCCGATGTTACTTTGACTCATTAAATTAACCCAGTAATCTATACCACAGATTTTCCGCTCTTTCATCATTTCCACTTGCCTTTGCATATTTTTTGTAATCTCTTGAACTTCACTAATCAGCCTGTATTGCACTGTGTCGTAACACAATTCCACATTGGGGCGATGGTTTCTTGCTTCCAAGCGGTTTTGAGCCACCTTAACAGGTCCTTCTTTATCAGCGATTGCTTTCTTTAAAGCTGCAATGTTCTTCTCCTGTGAGGCAGTCTCATCCATCACCTTAACAAATCAAACAGAAGGAAGTGGTGCACAGTCTCTTAAAATGGGTGAAATCATCATCTTCTTTAATAGTTATAGTAATAACAATCACAGTAACACTCATTCTGTTAAGATGTTATTTCATCAGAGGATATTTTACAAAGGTAAGCCAGGATTATGATTCATTGGAAAGCAGGTATCACTGTTCTGAGTGAAACTGGAGATTTATGCTCAGCAATTAATTTTTACATTAACACTCAGTTTTCATGTATCAAATTTTGAGCACATTGACCCTGATTTTATAAGTTATTAGGCTCTTATATCACAATTGTGAAAATTCTGTAGGAGCCCCATGTAACTAAAAAATCACAAGAGAAATCCTGACTTTACTGATGTCTACAGCAACACTTACATTGAGTGAGTGATTCCAGAAATTCACCTCCGTAGTGGTGCACACAGAGCTGAGAAAATAAAATCTAAGATGACTTGGGGAGGGAAATAAAGGTGGGCGGGGGGGGGGGGGGGGGAGGGGGGCAGGGAGGCAAATGTAGCAGGGGTTGCCAATAGTGCAAAGGTAAAATTCTTAAAGCAAAGTAGTTCAAGCCACTGGATTGAGAAAACTGGTAGATAACCCAAGCCCATTGTTTCCACTTTTTCACTGACTGTCCCCTACCACTTACCATTGCAAGGAGTGTCTCTAGCTTGTGCTTGGCATCCTTGACTTCCTTCACCTTATTTCTAAACGCAACATTCACCATCTCACATTGCTTGCGCATGTCATTCCTTGTCTGTGAGAGGATGCCATCAATCAGTGCCCCCAGTGCCAAAGAATTGTTTCTCTGCTTGTCAGCATTTTCAATATTTATGTTTGAGAAATCTATCCAGTCTTCAGGGCTAACAAAACTGAAAGAGAGTCAAAATAAAAGGTCATCAACTGGCAGCGTCAGGCCCTCTGTGACTTCATAAATCTATAATTGCTCCACAAAACCGAGAACAAAGCAGTACTATTAACTGCACGTCCAGTTAATAGGTGGACACTACAAGTGCCAGTTGTGCTGGGAATTCTACAGATGATACAAAATAAAGACCCTCTCTGTAGCAAACATTTCAAGACAAAGTACGCAAGGATAGGATGGAAACAAATTTGCAAAAGTCACAGAGCAACTTTGTTATAACTTTCCTTTCCCTGATAAAGGATTAAGTTGTTGTGGGGGAAACACAGATAATAAGCAATATTTCTTAGAACACCTTTCATTAATTAAGCTGTTATTACTAATATAATTCAGCTGTTACTGTTAGTAGCAGGTAACTATTCCCACAAAACACTTATTCTCTCACGCAGTTTACCACCTACAAGACAGTCACCTTATAGTACAGTTGGGATGCCAACCCCCAACTGCATCCCCAGAATTAGAGGTCATACTTGTGCACCAGTGGCTTGCAGGCAGGTGTTTGGAAAGTTCCTCAGGGGGTTCCTTGTTTCATTGGGTAGATATATAAAGCTGTAATTGTCATTTGCATATAGCAGCCAACACCATTCTGGTGCGGTCTGAGTTACACAACCTGTTGCTGATGCACGCTAACATGCTAGCAGCAAGAGCTGTCAGTCTCTTGGTGTTCCAAGTTTGTCAGTTCTCGCAGAGCAAATGGTGTCCTTGGAAGACTGTCTCACACACACTGCTTTCTCAGTGTGTTTCCTCTCTTCAACCTTTTTTTCTGTGCTAGCTATTTCTCCATCTAAACCGTTCACACTAACTGACTCACACAGAAGGGGCACATTTGACAGGTTAATGACTGAGTCAGAAACTGACTCCACACCTCATGTGTCCCTGTCCAGTGTTCTCCCCACTAGGACACCCTGGGAGAGGAGAGGCAGTTAGATGAGTAAATCTATTCTGGGTTTAAACAATGTGTGAAATTTTTCCATAGCTAACTGTGAGCCTCAAAAACTTTTAGTAAACTGCAGTTCACTGGGAACATGATTATTGTGGCTTATTTCACATACATATTACACAGATACTAAAGTGATGGACGGAAGTATTGTGCTGGTTTTGGGCTGGGGTAGAGTTAATTTTCTTCATAGTAGATAGTATTGGGCTATGGTTTGGATTTGTGCTGAAAACAGTGTTGATAACAGAGGGATGTTTTAGTTACTGCTGCGCAGTGCTCACACAGCGTCAAGGCCTTTCCTGCTCCTCACCCCACCCCACCAGCGAGCAGGCTGGGGGGGCACAAGAAGCTGGGAGGGGACACAGCCAGGACAGCTGACCCCAACTGACCCAAGGGATATTCCATAACATATGGCGTCATGCTCAGCATATAAAGCTGGGAGAAGAAGAAGGAAGGGGGGGGGGGCATTCGGGGGGATGGGG